TGCTCCTGGGGTCTCTAAGCGTTTTCGGGGTGCCCGTTTGAGGTTGGCTGGACGCTTTAGGCCAGGGCTCTGCTGTTTGTACGCCGATTTCGCTGTAGGACGGCTCCACTCCAATGCCTGACCAGTCTATCTTGCTGTATATCGAGCTATACAGCCTCAACATTTCTGCAAACAGCTCTTTGTCCTGCTTGTTGACGTGACGCTTATGTTGGCCTTCGAAAAGGCGGGAGACGGACTGCAAGTGGACTGCCGGCAGAGGCGAGACCGGTAAATGCATTGTAGACAATGTCGTTGCCAGAGGCGTTGAAAATGGCGTGTTTGGCGTGTTTGCCAGCTCGGCTGAGTTTGCTACACGCAAAGATGCTGCAGGTGAGCATAGTAGTGGAAAGCTCTGAAGGGCCATTGACGGTGGAGCTGACTTTGGTGGGGATCTGACCACCAAGGACCTACGCGCGAAAGGGTTCACGCCGGTTACCATTTCATTGATTTTTAGCCAAAGCTCGTCACCTAAGGTTGCCAGCGGAGGGCCTTGCAAGAATGGGAGAGGCGCCTCCAAGTGGGACTTTGGTTGTAGCATGTATGTACATTCGTATGTATGTATGTATGTATACATTGGACAATCGAGCACTGTTGTTTGATTGTAATAAATAATGTTCTATGGTTTTAAATAAAATTTTTCAAACGAAAAACAACAACAACTGCAAGTCATTGGCTCGCGCAGCTTCTTTCGTTTTGATCATTTACGCCTGTTTATTTCAAAGGCAAAATGACAAAAGTTTACAGACTGCGTAAGCGATAGTAAAGCAGAAACCGCGTTTCGGGCAGATGTACATATGTATGTTTGTATATGATTTGTTCTAATTGATCTCAATAAATTATAAGATGTTATTATTTAAATTTTCTGTTAATTGCATTCAAACTTCGATGGAATTATTGATTGTATCGACGGATTCAACTATCGATAGTTTTGATGCTCTAGCACATAGAGCATCCGACAGCGACTTATAGGCGGATAACGCCTTCATGAAAAATTTAAATGTATGTACATATCAGCGTTGCTGAACGCTCCAATTTTGGCGGGACGTCTAAATCAAAATTAAATGTCCCGCGTCGGACTTTTCGGGTATAACTCGACCGTTTGTACAACGTGGTGACGAAGCACACAGTTAAGTCAGGACTAGCATTGCGCCCGGTGCGTAACGAAGATTTATATGTACATTGTATGTATGTACGTATAACCATATATAGTACTTATTGTACTTTATTTGCTTTTGGAAAAATGAACTTTTCAAAAAGCTTTATAGAGCGTCGAAAGAAGAATATCATATAGTAAATAATCTTTTAATTATAAGCACATTTGACTTAGCCCAGCAAAGACGGGAAAGACCTAGAATAATAGTAGAGCAATCAAGAGGATCAGCAGTCTTACAGCAGTCAGTAGTCTTACAGCAGTCGTCAGCAGCAGCAGTCGTGAGTCGGTCGCAAGAAAGCAGTCGTGTTCATATATATATATATATATATATATATATATATATATATATATATATATATATATATATATATATATATATATATATATATGTGAATTATCATTATTATGTAGTTTATTAATATTATATAAGTTCAATCCAAATTAAAGTAAGGCGTACAAAGATATATTTAAACAACTGCGACGGGATAAGACCTCGGTAACGGCTTGCTTCACGACTGACTATGAACGGCTGAACACGACTGCTTTCTTGCGACCGACTCACGACTGCTGCTGCTGACGACTGCTGTAAGACTACTGACTGCTGTAAGACTGCTGATCCTCTTGATTGCTCTACTATTATTCTATGTCTCCTTCTCAAATTTCTATGTCTGCTTCTCGAAAGTTCGACTGCTGCTTCTCTCCGACTTCTTACTGCCGATAAACTGTCAATGCGGGCGCCTTTGCCAACCAAAGCACCGTTACCATTCTTACATTCGGCCATCCTGATCATTCATCTGTCCCAGATGACCAGCCACATTCGTTGTCGACCACATATCTCCATAATTTTATACAATCACAGCTTGTTCATGTGTTTGTTGGGCCTTCCGCACCTGCTGTCTTCCGGACATCGTATCTTCCATTTCGCTTGACCTTTGTGATCTCATATTGTCCTATATATTCGCTTGCCAGCTTCTTCCCAGCCACAAACTGGGTACGTCGTATGGCTACTAGGTCCCCGACTTTGTATACTTGCTCAATTTTGCGCTTCGTGTCATATTGTTTTTTATATGCGTCCTGAGCCCGCTGAATATTCATTTTCGCATTTTGCCGCATTAACTGTCGCTCAGCATCGAAAGCATCGTACATCTCCATCTCAAGTAAGTTTGATACATGCTGACTGGGGATGTTATTCATTTTTACTCCGAACATGAGCTCAAATGGCGACCTCTTTGTCGAAGCGTGGACGTGAGAGTTAATGGCCTTCTGCACGCTTGGTACAAACTTATACCATTTAGACGGCTCCTCGGATGACAGCTTTGAAACGACGGATAATATAGACCGATTTACACGCTCAACTTGACCGTTCCCTCTTGGCACTCCTGTTGTGCTCCATACGTGTTCAATACTATTTTCTTTAACGTACTGCTCAAAAATGTTCGACGTAAACGCACTGCCACGATCAGTAATAATTCGACAGGGATTCCCAAACATGCCAGCCCAAAGCTCCAATCTTTTTAAAGTTTCCTCGGCATTGGTTGTCTTTGTGGGAAAAAGACCAACGAATTTGGAAAATGCATCCACAACGGCGAAAATATATTTGTACTGCTTGCAAGTGGCGTCCATAGGACCCAAGTGATCTGCATGAAGAGTTTGAAGCGGCTTATCCCCTTTATCGATGCAGCTCAAGTAACCTTCTTTTTTGCCAAGCTTTTTATTATAAATGATGCATTTAATACAGTTGCTGATGACGTGGTTTACTTTTTGCTCCAAGTGTGGTATCCAGTAGGTCTGCTGTACGGCGTGCATAGTTTTTTGTACTGCGAAATGACCGGCGTTGTGAGCTTCCGTAATGACTTCCCTTTCCAACGCTTTTGGAACAACTAACAGATCGTTGCCGAGTACTACCTTGTAAATCAATCCGCCTTTCGTCTTAAAGTCCTCGTATGGCCGATTTTTGAGTATCTCTGCGACTGCTCTAATCATTGTGTCGTTTTCTTGTGCTCTTTTGATTCGTGCTGTTATTTCCATAGTCACAATCATTACACGCTGCGGATAACGGCTTAAGCAATCAACGTGTTTTAGCCTCTCACCGGGTCGATGCTCCACCTCGAAATCAAAATCTTGCAGGTAAATGACCCATTGGACTACCTCGCGTGGGACATCTTTCTTTTGCAGCGTCTGTTTAAATTTCAGCACAGTCGGTTATCAAGCGAAATTTTATTCCCAACAAGTAGTGGCGAAACTTCTTTAACGCAAGATAAATGGCTTTAGCTTCTAATATATAGCTATGACGAGCAGCCTCAGCTTCAGTTGACTTTTTACTCCAGAAGTGGACTGGGTAAAGTTTGTCATCAAACCACTGCATTAAGACTGCACCAAATCCTTCTTTTGATGCATCTGTGTGAACTTCAGTTCTGGCACCTCGATCGTACAGCCTCAAAATTGGTTCTTGTATGAGTGCATTTTTCAACGTTTGAACTGCTTCAAGTTCCTCAGCCTCCATCCGGTCACAGCATCTTTGCGCAGCAGATTAGTTAAAGGCCTAGCAATGTCAGCATACCCTTTAATAAATTTTCTAAAAAATCCGGTAAGTCCCAAAAACGACTGCACTGCTTTTATATTTTTCGGCACTGCGAATCTGCTGACTGCATTCGTCTTCTCTTCTCCTGGCCACACGTATCCATCCTTAATAAAATGACCCAAGAAATTTACAGTCTTTTGCAGAAAATGACATTTTTTCCACTTTATTTGAAGTCCATAAGCAGCGGCTGTTGTAAAGACCATCCTCATTTTTTCCATACATTCGTCGACTGTTACTGCATGAATTATGATATCATCCATATACAAGTCTAAGACATCAGCGTTTAAAAGGTTTTGAAATACGCATCTGACATAGCGCATAAATGTAGCCGGCGAGTTGCAGAATCCAAAAGGTGCACGGTTAAACTCGTAAAGTCCGTTCTTAGTCACAAAAGCTGTGTATTTCTTACTGGTTTCGGCGATGGGCACATAGAAAAACCCATTTTCCAAATCCATGACGGTGAACCACTTCGCGTTATGCAGCTTTTCCAGCACGTCATCAATTATCGGCACAGGAAAACAATCCTTCAATACCATTGAATTTAGCTTCCGGAAATCGACGCATATACGATGAGAACCATCTTTCTTTTTAACCAAAACGACGCGGCTGGCGAAATTTGAAGATGACTGCCGAATAATTCCTGCGTCAAGCCACTCCCTTATTTGCTTGTTGACTGCTTCATCCTCAGTGATAGAGAGACGACTGGGCGACTGGCAAAACGGAGCAATTTCTCCATCGGGTACAATATGCAGCATAACTGGAACCTCTTCAACCGACTGACTCGGCTTATAATTGTTGATCATCGAGCGCACGACATTTTCATACTGTAACGGTACATCTATATCAGAATCTGTACACGTCAAATTGCATATACTTATCTGATTAATGTTGTCACAAGCTTTCTCCCCCAACAGGGAAGAAAACTTGTATCCATCGGCCGATGACGTAAAGTTGAATTGGCTAGTAAAGTCATAGCCCAGCAGAGCATCATATTCCACATCTCGATCAGCAACAACCACGAATTTGTGAGATATCTTCTCCTCATCGACTGCAACTTCTGCGTCAAAACTGCCCACAGGACGAGTAATATTGTTGCCCAAGCCACGCAGGTTTGAAAATCAACTACGCAACTGAACATTGTTAATCTGGTTGTAAACACGCTTCTTCATAATTGAGACATCAGCTCCTGTGTCGAGTAGGCAGTTCACTTTGATGTTGCTCACCTGTACCACTTTAAAACGCTTTTCATCACGCACGACATGCACGGCTGGCGCTGCTACTGCTGGACAATTTCTGGACATATGTCCACTCTGGTTACAGCGGAAACACTTTGTAGCGGCTTGGCAATTCTTTCGTAAATGATCGGTGGATCCACAGTTGAAGCAATGATTCTTCTTTTCGGCACTGTCTGGATATACTTTTCGGTTCGGCTGAAATGGTTTCTTGTCAATTTTGTCCTTTTCAAATACACGCTCGTACACTTCATACTGCTCCTGCAGCTCTCTAAACGATTTGCAACTGTACAGAGTATACTTAAAGTCGCTCTTCATTTGCAGCCCATCAACAACATATCGTATTACTGATTGCGTGTCAATGTCTCCAATTGCAGCAATCTTGTTCATTTGAAGCATGTATTCGTGAAATGACTCCTGTTTGGATTTGCGACGCTCACGCAGCTCGGTATGAATATCTGCACTACACTTATAGTCGCACTTAAATTCTTCCTCTAAAAGCTTCTTGAGTTCAGCATATTCAAACACATGTGTTGACTCCAAAAACAGCTGGGCAGTGTTCGTCATTTTTGCACGTGCCTGGACATACTTTTGCTTTTCGTTAAGCCCGTATGCATCTGCGTTCAACTCGAAATTTCTAAACCAGAACTTCGCCGGCACATTTTTTCCATCAAACTCAGGGATAATTTTTGCAAAGCTCTCTGCCACAATTGTGCAATCATTTTTGGTTCGTTCGTCAATTTCTATTTTCAACGACAGGAGCTGAACTAGTTCTTGAAGCGTTTTATTGCTGTCTGCTACGGAACTTCTCTCTGTTTTGGGCTGCTGTTCGGTTCTCTGATCCCGAACCAGCTCAATGCTTCCTTTATCTCCGCTTTCATTGTTTATCTTTGCAACCGTTGGCGCCTGAGTCAGTTGCACGTTCTGTTGTTGAGTCTCGTTCATTCCTTCGTTACGTGCTGATGCCCGTCAAGCATCATACAGTGGTCCCGCTCGCACTTGTATTGGCGGCTTTTTCGGCTGTTGCTTCTTCACTTTACATCCACTCATGAAATGTACAGTTATTTACCGACAGCACAAAATATTTTACAACCTTGAAATATTTTCATCATCAACTTTTACCATTTGCAAGACGACATTCATTTTTATTTAAACAGTATATTAACGATTTTAACAACTTTTATAAAACAATCTGTCCTCTTTTTTTTTTTTTTTTTTTAAACACACTTCTGAGACTTTTTCTTTCCACACAGCTTCTACGCTTTTACTTATTATTGGACACGGTTGAGCCCCCAAATGTGAATTATCATTATTATGTAGTTTATTAATATTATATAAGTTCAATCCAAATTAAAGTAAGGCGTACAAAGATATATTTAAACAACTGCGACGGGATAAGACCTCGGTAACGGCTTGCTTCACGACTGACTATGAACGGCTGAACACGACTGCTTTCTTGCGACCGACTCACGACTGCTGCTGCTGACGACTGCTGTAAGACTACTGACTGCTGTAAGACTGCTGATCCTCTTGATTGCTCTACTATTATTCTATGTCTCCTTCTCAAACTTTCTATGTCTGCTTCTCGAAAGTTCGACTGCTGTTTCTCTCCGACTTCTTACTGCCGATAAACTGTCAATGCGGGCGCCTTTGCCAACCGAAGCACCGTTACCATTCTTACATATACATATATATATATATATATATATATATATATATATATATATATATAAGTATGTATATATATATAAGTATGTAAAGTGGCATCCTTGTGCCATTATCATCAGTTGGCACCCCCGATCAGGCGAAGGTGTAATTAAGAAGAAGTCGTGGGATAGTCGTTTTTCAACAGTCGTAAGCAGCAGTCGTGGCATTCAGTCGTCAGTAGTAAAGTTGTACAGCAGTCACTAAAGTTGGTCAGAAGTTGCGAAAGACGCCGGTCTAAACATATTTTTAAGTCTTATGTTATTATATAATACTATTCTTATTGTTTGTCAAATACTCGATATACTTTATTAAACGATTTATAAACCTAATAAATCTTACATGGGGGCTCAACCGTGTCGAGCAGCCGGACAAATATTCAGAACAGTTAAAAGTTTTTAAGTGAAGCATTCATAAAAAATGATTCTTACATAAGGGCTCAGCCGCATAAATTTTCATACGCAGTCAGTTGAAATAATACATCTAAAAGTTGCAGTGCTTAAAAATGATACGCTCAAGCAGAAAAAATAAAAATGGCGCACCAAGCAAGAAAAATCTGTTGCCGGTGGCGCGCATGGAAGATGGAAAGACATCACAAAGTGTAGACGATCTCGATCTAACGTTTGAAATGGTAGAGGAAAGCAGAGCAGTGGTAAATGATGAACAAAGTGTAAATCATACGTGCAAAAAAGAGATAAATATATACAAGTGCGAACAAGGCACAACGGCAGGAATAAAAGTAAAAGGTGCGAACGTCGAACTACATGATAATTGCGCAGTTGAAAATACCGAAAAAAGAATGTATTCTGAGGAGACACACACATGTATACAAAACCACGATTTGTCAATTTTAATTAAAATGCTGAGTGAAAAGAACGATTCTAACCCAAACAAGAACAGTGTGTCGGTGGAAAGCTTTGCAAAAGTAGTCCCTGATTTCGATGGCATAGCTATACCAGTTAAGCAGTGGGTAAATAATTTCGACGAAAACGCCGAGGCATACGAATTAAGTGAAAAACAAAAGTATGTGAATGCAAGAAATAAAATGGTTGGCACGGCCATGATTATGTGCTCCAGATGCGAAAAATAGCATCACTTGGACAAGTTGAAGATCAGTCGGTTATAAATTATATAGTTGATGGCTTAGACGTGCGTGACGATCTAAAATTTCCGTTGTACAGTGCGCCCACGTACAAAGAACTTCGAAGTCGGTATGAGCTTACTGAATTAGTGGCAAAGAGCAGTTCGTATAACAAACGTTGCGAAAACGTTGATAAAGTAGGAGACAAACAACAACAACAGCAGCATTGCTACAATTGCGGTTCAACAGAACATAAGCGGGCAGAATGTAAACGAGAAACAAAATGTTTTAAGTGTAACGGTGTCGGTCACATAACGAAGCAGTGCGTGGCAAGCAAACAAAGCGTTAACATTGTATTAAAGGAAAATCGCGTTAAAGAAATAAAAATTAGGAAAGCAGTTGTATCGTGTTTGAATGACACTGGCGCGGATGTTTCACTTATGCGAAAGCAAAAATATGAAAACATTTTCGGTGACCAAAAGTTGCAAAAGAATTTTACTAAACTGTTTGGCTTAGGCAATATTGCCACTGTCGTGTTGGGTGAATTTACAGAAACAGTTGAGGTCGATGGTTTTGTGACAAATCATACATTTCTTGTTGTACCAGATGCAAGTCTAAAAGTTGAAATAATTGTTGGCTATGACTTTTTACAGAAGTTTACTGTCACACTAAATTCCAATGGTTACACGTTCGTACAGGCGCAAACAAAAGCTGATGATGAGCAGTCTGAGTTGAATGTTTTTAACGTGGTAAGTCCAGCAAACGAGATCGATTTAAATGTTGAATCCCAGTATGCCGAACCAGTCAAACAAATGATCGCCAATTACAAGCCGGTGGACAATGCAGTAGAATGCCCAATAAAAATGACCATTATACCGAATGTTCCAAGCATCGCTTTTCGCGAAAGTCCAAGCCGATTGTCTACAACAGAACGTGAATTTGTACGAAAAAAGGTGGATGAATGGCTTCACAGTGGCATTATCAGAGAGTCGTCGTCAAACGTTGCAAGCAATGTGGTGTTGGCCAAAAAGAAAGATAGGACCTACCGATTATGTGTGGACTATCGTAAGCTGAATACCCTCGTACTTAAGGATAGGTTCCCAGTACCAGTTGTCGAAGAAGTACTCGAGAAGATGCAAAATGCGAAATATTTTACTGTTATGGATTTGCGAAATGGCTTTTTTCATATGCAGGTAGAGGAGCAAAGTCGAAAGTATACAGCGTGTGTTACCAAGGAAGGTTGTATGAATTTAATAGGGCACCCTTTGGATTTTGCAATTCCCCAGTAGTGTTCGTACGATACGTTAATTACATATTTCAAACATTGATTAACAAAGGCATAATGGAGATGTATGTTGACGACATAGTTATTTTCGGAGATTCAGCTGGTCAATGTTTGGAAAATATGCGAATTGTACTGAAGTAGGCAGAAATGTATGGGCTTGATATAAAATGGGCCAAGTGTCAGTTCTTAAAGAAGAAAATAAATTGTTGAGTATTTTGGTGACCTTCCTCATAGTTATTTTTATTGTTTGGCCGGCTCGAGGTCAGAGTAAGAAAAACCAATTTATTTAATTTTCTTTTCTTTTTCCGATATATTTCGGTTACGCCACGGTAACCGTCTTCAGGGCAACTACAAAACATATAACATAATTAACGTATTAAAACTATAACACAAAAATTTTTATATAATTACTTATTTAAGCAAGTCTGCTCTGTTTGACTTGGAGTTACTAACTAACAGGTGTCTGTAAATATGCGCGCAATTTTCGGTGTCTGCTTTGTAGTTAATTCTGTATTTGTTAGGTGTGTTGATAATGTGTAGCGTTTCGAGAGTGAATCGCTTACTGTAGTGTCGTTCTTGTTGAAGTACTTTCGTTTCTTCAAAGTTGGGGGTGTGTCCAGTCTCTATGCAGTGGGTTGTTAGAGCAGTTTTTTGTGTCAATGTTTGATGCCTTAGTTTGTAGTCTGACTTGTGTTGTGATATCCGTGTTTTTAGTTTCGACTTAGTGGTTCCAATGTAAAATCTCCTACATGGGTTGTCGCTGTCTCCGTCACATGGAATTTTATAGACTACGTTATTCAGGTCCATTTCTGCAATTTTTGCCTTAGTCCTATTAAAAATGTTCCTAAGTGTATTCTCCGGTCTGTGCGCAATTTGTATATCCTCTTTTTGATAGCAGTCTGACTGGGTGAAGCGTTCTGAGAACCCAGATACGTATGTCAGAGATTTGTAGATTTTTGGTGCTCTTGGTTCTTTTTTCTTTGGGTTCTTATGGTTCTTGATTAGGGAATACGTCAATTTGATAGGGAAGTCGTTTTGTGTCAGTATCCGTTTAATTTCTTCCTCTATTTGTTTATGGTAAAATTTGTCACTTGTCTCGAACATCCGTCTTATACAGTTCTTGGCTGTATTTATTATCATATTTTTCGGATGTTTCGAGTGATAGTTAATCAGCCTACCCGATGCCGTCGGTTTCTGGTACCATTTTGTTTTTAGCGTATTCCCACATCTATTTATAGTCAAATCCAAATAATTAAGTTTCTCGTCATTTTCTGTCTCTAATGTAAATTGGATGTCTTTGTGGTATATGTTGAGGGCGTCTAATGTCTTTTGCACCTGTTTCTTGTCAATAATTGCGAACAAGTCGTCAACATATTTGGTCAGGAGTCTTGGTCTATGGATCAATTTCGATGTTGTGTTTTCCAGAAGCTCCTCCATGACTATGTCCGCTATTACAGGGGACGCCGGGGATCCCATCGGTAGTCCCTTAAGTTGTATATACATTCTGTCCGTATACTTAAAATACCTTGTTTCACGGATGCAGAAATGTACGATGTCC